TACCTCCACCAGCCAGACTACACAAAGTCCATCCAAAACTGTGTCACCAGTGAGGGAACCAGCATCCAAAACAGGGGTCTTTGAGTGGTGATAGGGAGAGGTGGGGGAGTTCAAACTCAAACCATAACACCCACATTCACAAAGAGTGTATGGTTCCAAAGCTGACCCAGATCCTTAAGAAATTAAGCCGCTGCCAAGAAGCCTCTTCTGGACAGAGACTGGGGAGATGGCTCAAGGATTAACAATTCTTGCTGCTGTTCCAGAAGACGCTGTTTGGGTCCCAGCATCGAGGTCACATGCCTCACTACCACGTGTAACTCCAGATCTAGGGAATGAACCAACTTCGTCTGGGCTCTATGACACCTGAACACATATGATATATATCCACACAGATACACCAGAAAATAAGAACAAAAATAAATCTTAAAAATAAAAATTGAAGCTGGGTGGTGGTGGCGCACGCCTTTAATCCTAGCACTTGGGAGGCAAAGGCAGGCGGATTTCTGAGTTCGAGAGTTCGAGGCTAGCCTGGTCTACAGAGTGAGTTCCAGGACAGCCAGGGCTACACAGAGAAACCCTGTCTCAAATAAATAAATAAATAAATAAATAAATAAATAAATAAATAAAAATAAAAATTGAATCCTCCATTGCTAGGCCTCTTTGGTTGCAATAGAAACCCAGCTTGAACCGGTTTATGCAGAAAGCAACAGTGGATCAGAGGTTGTCGGAGATAGTGCGGCTCACAGAATAGACGGAGGAGCTGCCAGAATGAGAGCAGCTCCAAGACCCCAGGCCTGTGTCCAGGGACCTGTCACTTCCAAAGATGGGAGAGACCGTAGACCTCAAACAATGACCGCACTAATTAAAGCAAACCATTAATAAAAGCTAACTTTTTTATTTGTGTCCACAGGCTTCCTCCCCCTAAGGCAGGGTTTGAGAGTCAGCCTTGGGGGAAGTTTGTGAGGAAGACAAGCTCAGAGGTAAAGGGTTTCCAATGAAGGATTTGGTGGGCAAAATAGGAGAGGTTACAGGAGCAGACCATAAGCATAGCAAGTTAGCCCTGATGATCTCCTGAAACAAAGACATGGTTGCAAAGGTGGGCATAGCAAGGTAGTCATAGCAACAGGTAGTCATAACAACAGGTAATCATAACAAGGTACTCATAGGTGATCATATAACCTTTTGAAACAAAGGTAGGGCTGTAATATGATTATAAACAACTTTTTGAAACAAAGTCGTGATTGCCATTCCTGGAACATGCAGTACAGAGTCATTTGTAGTTAAGGTTACAAGTGGGGCAGAGCCCAATGCTTGAGAAACAGAGGTTTAATCATAAACAGGAATGCACTTAGTTTATCTTTACTACTATAAGATGACTTTTAGGCCGGGCAGTGGTGGCGCACGCCTTTAATCCCAGCACTTGGGAGGCAGAGGCAGGCAGATTTCAGAGTTCGAGGCCAGCCTGGACTACAGAGTGAGTTCCAGGACAGCCAGAGCTACACAGAGAAACCCTGTCTCAAAAAACCAAAAGAAAAAAAAAAAGATGACTTTTAAACCCAAGATGGAGGCAGGCTTGTTCTTCAGACTTCAGCCTGGGTGATGGTTTGATTTTCTCAAGCTTTTCCACATGATGAAGAACATGACTGTAGACTTCCCTGGGTGCCATTTTACAATGGCATGCATGATCACACTACAGTAGAAAAATCCTTAGAAAGAATGCTTACTGACTCTGGATTTGTTGGAATAGGTCACATGCATTTTCTCAACCAATTACTGTGGCCAAAGGGATGGATGGGGTGAACTTAATCCCGAGGAGCACAGACTGTTCATCTCTGCAGTCAGGGAACGGGGATGAGTTGGGTGTGTTATTGTTCTGAAACAATCCCAGAGTTTGAGAGCTGGTCGAGATGCCTTGTGACAGGAGAATGCGGCAGAGTGATCCACTTGTACAGAGTTCAGCTTACTGGAGCTTTACTGCAGTAAGGCCGGGCCGGACTCTACAGTTTGGGTCAACCGATGGGGCTTCATACAGCAGTCGGGACAAAAGTGACCTCATTCGAGCTGGAATGTACCTGGTTTTTCTCAAGCCAGTATCAAAGAGCCAGGCATATTCTTGGCACCAGGGTACAGTCCTCCAGGCCTACATACCACTCTCATGGATTTGACTATTTATGGTATGCTGAGAAACTATTTGTGGGAAACTAACCAGGATTACTCAAGGGTAATCACGACATCTATAACTCAACATGGTTGCTGTCAGATTACACTGAATCCATGGTTGGCAATCAGGAAAACACATCTAGAAGTGATAAACTCTGGAGGGTCTTTGCCTCTGTGAGTGTGTGTGTGTGGTCTATGTGTGTGTGTGGTCTGTGTGTGTGTGTGTGTGTGGTCTATGTGTGTGGTCTGTGTGTATGTGTGTGTGGTCTGTGTGTGTGTGTGTGTGTGTGTGTATACATGTGCTTTCAGGTGAATGTGGGGGCCAAAGGTGAACATAAAACCAACTTCTTTGATTGTTCTTCATTTTATTTTGTTGAGACAAGGTCTCTCGGTGATCCTGGAATGCAGCGATTTAGTTAGACTGGCTGGCCAGTGGGCTCTAAAGCAGGTTCTACTCTGCCCCCCTCCCCCAGTGACTCTAGGATACAGAGCCCAGGAGCAGACCCGGCTTCTCTGTGGGCAATGGAGAGCTGAACTCAGAGCTTCCCTCTTACTCAGCAGCCAGCTTGCCAGCTGAGCCATCTCTCTGCTTCCTGGAGGTGGTTTTGTTGGCCAGAGCTCAGAGGCACAAACGCCTGGGATGGGCTTGCTCTCCCATCTCTGTGAGGTCTGAGGACCTTCCTGCTTTTTAGGTATTCTTAAAAATCAAACATTTATTTGTTGCCAGGCAATGGTGGCACACACCTTTAATCTGACAGGCACATGAGAGGCAGAGACAGGCAGATTTCTGAGTTCCAGGCCAGCCTGGTCTACACAGTGAGTTTCACAACAGCCAGGACTACACAGAAAATGCCTGTCTCAACAAATGAACAAACAAACAAACAAACAAAAAGTATTTACATTCATTTATCTTTGCATGTCCTTGTCTGTATGTGCACCAAATGTGTGCAGGGCTTGTGGTGTCCAGAAGAGAGCATCAGATCCCCAGAAACTGGAGTGACAGGTAGTTGTGAGCCATCAAGTGGTTATGAGAATCAAATCTGGGTCCTCAGGAAGCTTTTAACAGCGGAGACATCTCTCTATCCCTAAATTTTATTTATTTATTTATTATTTACTAATATGTTCATTTAGCTTGCATGTATGTTTTCGTACCTGGTGCATGCAGTACCCTTGGAAGCCAGAAGAAGGCATTAGATATCCTGAAACTACACGTACAGATGGTTGTAAGCTGCTACGTAGCTGTGGGAAATCGAACCCTTGTCCTCCGGAAGGGCCTAAATGAGACATTTCTTTAGTCCCAGAGGGCTCCAAGTCTATTTTGTCAAAGACAACCCCCCCCTTTTTTTTTTTTTTCAAATCAAGTGATTGCAATAGGGAGAGCTGTGAATGTATCTAAGACTTGCATAGAGGGAGGGGTGGGATGATTTATGGTTGGGATGGTTAACCCTCAAGTAGAAGACCCAGAAATGTTTATTCCTGACTAGTTTCGGGGGAGTGCATACAGTTCTTAAAATTCACTAATCAACTAGGAGACACAGAACGGGAAGCTGAATGAATGTTGTTTGGCGTTGCCATGGGATGACAAGAGGATCAGCGGCTAGCTGAGATTTGAGTTGCATGGGATTCATGAGGAAGAGTGGATAGTTTTATCTGGGTCCTTCCCAGAACACAAAGGATGAGGTATTTTGGAAATCAAGAGGGGAGGGGTGTTGACTGTGGCTGTTTTGCAGATGCACAGAATTCTGGTAAAGCAAACAGTGTTAGCCTATACAACACAGAGCCCCTTATCCATCCTGTAGACACAAGAATCAATCAAAGAACCTATGTCACTTACTTAGTATGATGCTGGGCACAAATATGGCATATTTAGCAAATAAAAATGTGTCCCCAGATATGCACAATAGAATATTGCAATACTGCCAATATACTCATAACAAAGTTATCCGAAATTTAAAGAAAATCGGCTGTTCTATATTTCACCTGTAACCCCTGACACACAGTTATACTGACAATAAATATTAACTGAGAATACAGCTAGGGGAAATTATTTCAAGCCATATTATCTGGACAGGGCATAGGGCATACTACTCTCTTCCTAAATAAAGCCTTAGTTAAAAGACATTCTAACTCACAAAAGCATTGTCAGGACAGAGCTCAGGAGATGGGGACCCTGCCCATCCTAGAGCTTCTTTAAAGGCGAGGGCACCTCTCTTCTCCAAGTCCTCCGGACAGCCTCCTGGGAGGCTCCCACTTTTTGAAGGCCTGGAAAATGGTAATATAGAGACTTCTACCACAAAGCTTCAACACTTCGAGGAGAGGGGAAGGATTTTCTCCTGCCTTAAGCACGGACTTTGGACCAGAGAAGGAAGAGTAGAGTAGGAAGGAATGCCCTGAATTCACCCAGGGCAGTGGGCAGGCCAGAACTTTGGAGCAATATTTAATGCAAGCTCGTGCACTAAATAGGCCCTGGGGATCAAACTTCCGTCGTCCAGCTTGGAGGAAGGCTTTACGCCATCTCGCCGGCCTCCGAATTTGTTTTGCTTTACAAACCTAAATTCACATGGGAAAGACAAAAGTGTCTCTAATAATCCCTGGAAGATTCTGTGGCAGGTGGAAGTGTGGTGCTCGGACCTTACACAGGCAGATCTGAGTTATCGTTCGTCAGCTGTCTAGATTAAAGACTCCTGCACGCCAAATGCCAGTACGGCCTCACTTCCGGCACTGACCACGTATGGTGCCCCCACTCTTCTTCCCAGGATGCTCCGCGTCGTCCTCTCCCTCCAAGATTGGCCCGATCGCTTCACGTGACTTTGGCTAGCGGTAGCGGTTGCCGGGGTGACGGCAGGCGAGCTGGCGGTCTGGAGGAGAGCACAGCCCCGCAGTAGGTAAGCGCGGCCCCTCCTTGCGGCTGGACCCTTGGCGCAGGCCTGGGATCACCACCTGGAGGGCTCGCCTCGTCAGTCGCGGTTCTTCCCTGGCCAGGGCCCGAGGCGACCGCCTGAGCATCCCATGCTTCCCCCAGGAACCCCTAACTCCGCTGCGGTGGGGCAGACTTGGAGTAGCCCCGGGCCTTCTCGCTGAGCATTGGCAGCACGATCTCGTAGCCTGGCACTTTTAGGCCTCTCCCCCTCTCCCCACCCCTTTAGTTTTCAATAGTAGTCTTCCTTCCCAGCGCCCAGGATACGCTCATTCTTCACTGAATCTAAGTGAAAGCATGTTACCTCCAGGACAAATTCATCTTCTCCTTATCCAGCCAGCTGTAGGCCTGAATCTCTCTCAGATGGAGGGGTGGCATCGTCACCGCATGCCAAAACTCTATGAACAGTTTACTTCTTTCTCCATAAGGTAGATCCTTAGCCCAGAGGTTGTTTGGACTAAGTTAACTGAGCTAAGGAGACAGGACATCCATCCAACACAAAGAGTTCAAGGGTTGCCTTGAACTCACGAGAGATAGACACTTGCTGACCAAGCCTGATGGCTTGGAACCCCAGAATCCACACTTCAGAAGGAGAGAACCGACTCCTGCGTATTCTCCTGCAATATCAGCATAGATTTAATTCTAGCTCTGGAGAACCTGTGAGTTTGCCCATGAGGTGGGGAACTGTGCTAAGGTTTCTCTTGCCATAATGAAACAGTATGACCAGAAACAACATAGGGGAAGAAAGGGTTTATATTGCTTAAGATTCCACATCTTTGTTCATCAAGGGAAGTGAGGCAGGGCAGGATCCCAAATGCATGAGCTGATATAGATGCTGAGGCCATGGAGGAGTGCTGCATACTAGCTTTCCATCCTATGTATGTCCATATAGCTTCAGTGAACTCAGAATTACCAGTAGCCTGCCATGTTGCCTTAGTCAGTGTGGTTCCTATCTTCTCTTTTCTTCAAACCGCTACTCTGTTTCTAATGAGATGGTGACCTCGGCTCTTGCTTTCATTCTCTTCCCTGAATCTCTTTCCATCCAGCTCCAGTCCTGTCCGGACCAGGTTGTCTAACAGGCATCTTGGGGCATAGGGCCACACATAACGCTTGCTTTGAGTTATGAAGGGGATTCTGATGCAGGTGCATCAGTGAGAGGACATTGAAGTCAACCAGTGGGGAGTTCCTCTGGGGATGCACAGCACAGCCGGCTTGGGAGTGATGGCCAGATGAGGTGTTTTTCTGAGTCTCTGGATGAGTACCTTTAAGCAGAGAGCAAACAAGATGTAGATGTTTGCAGAAAGAGCATCAAAACGGACAGAGCTGTGGACATGCAGGTCTTCCTTGAGGGCAGGTGTATTGTGGGCATCATGGAGCTTCCGTGTATGCTGGAAATCTGTGTTGACCAGTGTGGTTCAAGTCAGCAGATCAATTGAGAGCTACCAAGGGTTTAGAGAGAAGTCCTGAGAAGTCTGGCTTCATCCGTGGGTTCCTAGAAACACCTCCACAGGCTGGGATCACAGGCCTGTTCGTCACACCCTTCCCTCCCAAGTGCCAGGATTATAGACATGTGCTAGCACACCCAGTTTATGAGGTGCTAGAGGGCTTTATGCGTATTAGTCAAGCACTCTCCCAGCAGAACCACAGTTTAGCTCTTCTACTGTTGCTGTGAGGAATCCCTATGAACTTGGTGCTTGAAGTAGTGCAGGCTTAGAGTCCTGAAGTTCTGCAAGTTAGAAGCCTGCAGCGAGCATTTCTGGTGGATAGCCATGTAAAGTATTGATTGGACCCCTACTGAGGGGACTCAGATGAGTGTGCCGGATTCAGGCCTTTCAGGACAAGCTAGAGGACAGCACCTTGCCTCCCAGTTCCTGCCATGCCTCCGTGACTCTCTGCAAAGCCCAAAGTGACCAGTCCCTTTCTGCATCTTGTCTCCTCTTCCTCAGTGACTTCTCTTGAACTAGTAATCCAGGCTTATCTCTGTGCTTGAAGGACAGCTATCTTGATTAGTTATCTTAATGCCGCCTTTACCTTTAAATCCCCCTAGTCATGTGACCTCCCGTTGCCCCTTAGTCACCGGTTCTGGGGATTACTATGTACCTGTCTTTGGGGCCATGTATCCTGCCCACCACAGCCACCCACTTGTGGTTTCTCAGTGGTTTAAATTAACCTTTGTTTTTGTTTTGCTTTGTTTTGTTTTTATCTTGTAGAGATTTCTGCTGTGAGAATTACCAGTAACCGTTCACTATGGGGGATATCCTGGCTCATGAGTCTGAATTACTTGGACTAGTGAAAGAGGTAGTTATATAAAACACAAGTCACGGAAAAGCATTTTTAAAAAAAGATTATTTGTGTGTTTATGTCTGTATGGCTGTTTGCATTGTGTGTGTGAGCACTCACAGAAGCCAGAGTGGGGCACTGGATCTCCTGCAGATGAAATTGCAGGCGAGAAGTTTGTGAGTCACCCTTTGTGGGTTCTGAGATTGGAACTCAGGTCCCTAAAACATGTAGGACCGGAGAGATGGCTCAGAGGTTAAGATCATTGACTACTCTTCCAGAGGACCCAAGTTTGATTCTCTGCACCCACATGGGGACTTACAGCCATCAGTAGTTCTAGTCTCAGAGAACCCAACACTTTTCTGGCTTCTGTGGATGCCAGGCATGGATGTGGTGTACATACATACAGGTAGGCAAAATACTCATACACATAAAAATAAAAAACAAAGCTTTAAAAAGAAAATTAAAATGTGGCAAGAATAGCTTGGTGGTTAAAAGCACTGACTGCTCTTCCAGAGGACCCAGGTTTGGGTCTCAGTACCCATATGGTGGCTAACAGCCACCTGTAATTCCAGTTTGAAAGGATTTGATGTCTTCTGGCTTTGTGGATGCTGTGTGCACGTTGTGTTCAGATATACATGCAGACAAGCTGCCTGCGCACATAAAATAAAAATAAATACATCTTTAAAATGTAGCAGGCTTATACATGTAACCCAGCACTTGAGAGGCTTCAGCATGTCAGTCTGGGCTTTATGTAGACATCTGGTTATCAAAACAAATTAAATGAGTAAATGGCTATATAAATAAATAGTAAGGTGTGATATATTTTTTCTGAATTGCAATTTTTTTCTTTTAATCATTACATGATTTTCCACTTCACTCACTTGTGTGCATGCAAGTGTGTTGTGTTTGATTGGATCTCATATAGCCCAGGATGGCCTTGAAACTGATAGGTAGCCAAAGATGACCTTGAAGTCCCTTTTCTCAGGCCTCTGCCTCCCCAGTGCTGGGATCCCAGGCCTGTGCCGTAGGTCAGCTTTATCTCAGGGCCATTTAGATCTGCTGCACTGAAAGCTTGAGAAGAGAAGGTCCCAGGCAGGCCCTGCGAGGTTTGGAGCTGGAGAAGAGGAGGCTGTTGAGTGTGAGCGAGCTGTCATCCATGCTTCAACAGACACTGGAGGGAAGATGGTGTCCACTCTGGACAGGCAACTGTGTTCATGGTGGTGATGCTGAACACATTTCTATGACTGAAACCACAAGGACTAGACAGGGCCAGGGGACCCAGCCACAGTTTAGAACAAGTAGAACACAATGTGACCAATACCAATTGAAGAACTGTTTTAGAGCATTGTCCTTGAGAGTGGCGCACTCTGCAAGAGCCTACACTGCTAACATTTTCCATTTTTTAAAACAAATATTTATTTATTTATTTATTTATTTATTTAATGTATATGAGTACTCTGTCACTATCTTCAGACACACCAGAAGAGGGCATCAGATCCCATTACAGATAGGTATGAGCCACCATGTGGTTGCTGGGAATTGAACTCCGGACCTCTGGAAGAACGGTCAGTGCTCTTAACCGATGAGCCATCTCTCCAGCCCACGTTTTCCAGTTTTAATGGTTTACATTCTCCTGTTAGCAAAGCATTGTTTCTAATTCTATTTCAAACGGATCCTAGTAAACCAAAAGCTGTGGACCTTTGCCAGGCGAGTTAGCCTTTTTTTTTTCAAGCTGCGTTACTTTAGTTTCTCTTACTAATAAAGATGACAGGGCTGGAGAGATGGTTCAGTGGTTAAGAACACACATGGCTCATAGGGAAGACCCGGGTTTGCTTCCCTGAACCCAGGCAGGGTGTTACCGGGAGCTTCAGCCCCAGGAAGTCTTTTACTTTTATCTGGAATCCATGAACACCTGTCTTCTATAAGTACTTGACAAAAAGATGTACATTTATGACAAGCCGGTGTGATCATTGATCAAGCTAATTAAGTACACCGATCCCATGTTTCCTCCTCCTCCTTGTCTTACTCTGTGTTAAGAACAAAAATCAGCTCGCCTAGCAAATCCCTAATGTGTTTAACAGTGTTATTAACTATAGCCATCATAGTGACTGTTAGCTCACAGGCTTTACTCATTTTGTATAATTGGAATTTATCCTTTGACCAAAATGTTTTCTCAGCCACTGGCAACTGCCATTGTGCTGTCTGCTTCTGTGAGTTGTGACATGTGCAGTGTTTATCCATCTCTGCCTGGGCTGTCTCATGTACTCTGTGCCCCCCAGTGCATCCATGTTACCAGGGGCAGGGTTTCCTAAGGTTGTAATCTTAGTGTGCAACACATTTTCTTACCCACTCATCTGTTGATGGATCTTTAGGTTTGTCTCATGTCTTGGGTGATTTGAATAATGTTGTAGAAATGCTCATGTGTGGATATTATTTGTAGAAATAGATTTTATTTTCTATATATACCCAAAATATGTACCCAAAAATGAGATTGTTGGATCATAGCCTAGTTCAGATTTTTTGTTGAGTGACTTGTTATTTGACAATTGCATACATGTATGTAATATATATCATATTATTATTATTATTATTATTATTATTATCCTCCCTATCTTTACTTTTTTGGGGAACCCCATTACCTTCTCCATAGCTGGGTTGGTCTCCATTGTCACCAACAGTATAGAAGATTTCCTTTCCTCTACTTCCTTTGTTACTGTTACCGCTTGCCTTTTTGAAGACTTACTTTATTTTATGATTTATGTGTTTGTGTGCATCTATGTGCATTCAAGTGTGTGCGTGACAGTGGATACCAGAAGGGGAGGTTGGTTCCTCTGGCTGTGAGCCTCCTGATTCTGGTGCTGAGAGTCAGACTTGATGGAAGATCATCATGTGCTGAACCATCCCCAGGTCTTGTCTTTTTGATGGCACACATTCTCGTGGGTGTGGTTTTGAGCATATTCCTGTTGGTCTTTTGTGTGTCCACATTAGAGAGTATGTGCTCAGGGCATTTGACCTTTGTTTAATTACAGTATTTGGGCTTTATTTTTGTTTGTTTGTTTCTAAATTATGCCCTCTTTTCTAGTACTTAGATTTCGCTGAATTTGAAGACACCTTGAAGACATTTTCAAAAGAATGCAAAGTAAAAGGAAAGCCACTATGTAAAACTGTTGGTGGGTCATTAAAGAAGGACTCCAAGTCGCTGGTAATCCAGGTAAGGCCTCGCCTGGCTTCAGCTCTGAAGATGCTTATGACAGTCAGAAAATTGCAAGTTCTTTCAAGTTAGATAAAAATAAACCCAAAGCTGTCAGAGGAATGCACTAAGAACCACAGTGTATCACATTAGGATGGATACCATCAAAGAACAACATAGTGGGCTGGAGAGATGGCTCAACAGTTAAGAGCACTGGCTCCTCTTCCAGAAGACCCAGGTTCAATTCCCAGCACCCACATGGTGGCTCATAACCATTGGTAACTCCAGTTCCAAGGAATCTAACACCCCCTTTTGGCTTCAGCAGGTATTAGGTATGCCATGCCTGTGGGGCACAGACTTAAATACATGTAGGCAAAACTCCCACGCATGTAAAATAAAATAAATCTATGTCCCCTCCAGTAATATAGAGGGTTTCAGTTTTATTCATCTTTGCTAACATGTATTCTTTTCTGGTGTTTGTGTGTGTTTACTATTTATTTGTCTTGGCTATCCAGTCAATAGCTATTAGATAATACCGTATATTATCATACTACAGCATCCACCACTCTGTCATCATGCCCCACTGATAGAGTTCACAAACAAGTAGCTTGGAGCATGAGAGGAGGATGGCGGCACACACCCAATCCCCAGGACTCGGGAGGCTGAGGCAGGGAGATCAGGAAAGCAAGACAAGGGAATCCAGGCAAAAAGTGCTCTAGAACGATGGCTCAGTGGGTAAGCACACTCGCTCCCAGCCCTCAGGACCTGAGTTTGATTCCTGTGATCATGAGGTGGAAGAACCAACTCCCAAAGGTTGCCTTTGACCTTTACATACACATTAAGGCACACGTGCCAACACACCACACATGCACATACACTAACACACACACTGTCTCACTAAATGGATGTAATTAAAATGTTTTTTAGAAACTCAAACCACAAAAATGTCTGCAGTAGTGGTTAAGCAAAATCTGTCAGTTGCCGTAAGCTGCTATTCTTAGGCCCAGTTCCAGCAACACTGTGCTGTCCATGATTAGTGGTGTGTATGCATTCTTATCTTAGTGGTCCTGGCTAACAGAGGACCAGTTTGCAACCAGAGGTACAGTGAATCAGTATATGTATAGAGGTTATTTTAAAGCAGGGGCCATTTCCAGGTACAGATGCAATGGTAAGGGCATAGCAAAGGTCTGTTATTTACAAATACAGAGTCTAGAATAAACTGTAGATGGACCATTTGATGTGTAGAGTCTGCCAAGACATGTTTGAAAAAATGTCATGGCTCTAAGCCTTAAAATACAAGGTAAGTCTGCACTCACCTCGTCCACACAGTCACGGAACTCTCAGCTGACCCAGAGTGACCCAGAGTGCCTGGCAGGGTTTGCAGGGGAACTTAGCAGAGGGGAGCATGGGGCTGAGGCTAGCCCGGCAGCACAGCCCTGGGCAATCACTTCACCATTGTATTCCTCATTTACAAGAAAGAAAGGAGCCTCTGACCAGGTTCCCCAGACAACTGGGGGCTGTGCATGACTGCCTGTGCTTTGTTCTGCTAGCACCCATCCACAGTGACTAACAGGCTGCTCTCAACTTTTCCAAGCTGGTTTGGAGGAGATAGAAATTCATTCTTGGGCTCCTTTTTAAAAGTTGTAGGTTTGTATTGATGGTAGCAGCTCAGGGTAGGGCAGCATTCTGAAACAGTTGTTCTCTACCGTGGAAGTTTGTAAGACTCAAGGAAGACTTCAGTACATTCACATACATACCCATGAGTCCTCTGGCCTCAGAACTCTGTTTTGAAAGCCTTAGCATTTCGTCCTCTCAACAGTGTCCAGGTTGGGTATTGCAAAGGCTGGAAACCTAGGAGCTGTCACAGGGCTTGCCTAAGGGGCCTCTGGGAAAGAGTGTGCCGGTATCTAGCATCAGTAGGTGGTGAGGTTGGTGTGTTGGGAGAATGAGCATCTTATTTGACTAGAATTCTTCTTTTTTTCTTCTTTAGGGTTTTCAAGACAGGATTTCTCTGTGTAGCCCTGGCTGTCCTGGAACTTGCTCTGTAGACCAGGCTGGCCTCAAACTCACCAGAGATGCACCTGCCTCTGTCTCCCAAGTGTTGTGAGTAAGGTGTGGACCACCATGCCTGGCTTTGACCTGAATCTTTTTGTCTTCTCCACAGAAGGATTTGGTGTCAGCGTTTGACAGTGGAGACCAGAAGATGTTCTTTGACTTGTGGGAGGGGCATGTTCCCAGCTCCATCAGAGACACTGACTCCCTGGCCCAGAAGCTGGAATTCTACCTTCACATCCACTTCGCCATCTACCTTCTCAAGTACTCCGGAGGCAGGCCGGTAGGCCACTTAGGGTTTGGGTCAGTCTGAGCTAGCTAACAGGCCTCACAGATACCAAGGAAGCGTGGGTTTAGGTTTGTGGCCATTTTATCATGTTGCATTTTATGTCCTGATAAATGATTTTTGGCTTCATTCTCAGAAGATTATTTCCTAGTTTATGTGGAGATTTTATAGTTTCTGTCATCAAAGTTAAATTGTTTTCCTTTTCAACACCTCAGGTGTCTGAGTCTTGGAGACTCATCCAAGTAAGTTGGCTTTATTGGGTAACTTGGTGTGTCTGAGAGAAGACCAAGAACATACATTTCATTGAAAGTATTGGGGAAGGAGTGTGCCCATGTGTAGAGAAGATCCATGGGCTTGAATTTACCTTCTGTGGGCTTTTCCTAGATTGGCTGAAGGTATGGGAAGGGAGGCAGAGGGCTGGAGTGCTGAGCCCACATGGTTGATGAGCCTTCAATTACAGACAAAACAGCACAGGACAGAGTTAGATACATTGTATCACTCATGGTAACACTGCCCTGTAGCAGTGAATTAGTTAAACCGCCACCTGTCAGAGCCCTCTGGATTCACGAATGAAAGACATACATACACACATGCCAGTTAGTTTTGTTATGCTTTGATTAGCTCAGTGGCTGGGCACTTTTAAATTTATCCGCAGCTAGCAAACACTCCCCTCTGGTATACTTGAATTAACACCCTCCTAATCTATACTTTATCTTTGTTGCCCTGGTAACCGCCTCTTCCTCTTCCCCCCACCACATACACACACTCTCCCTATAGGGCTGCTTTCCATTTATACTACGTTTCGGCCTTCTCACCCTCATGGTGTGGTCTGGGCCATCTCTCTCTCTGTCCCAAGCTGGGGAATCCTCAAAGTCCAATCTCTATTTGCCTTGCCCAGCCATTGGCCACTGGCATCTTTATTTACCAGTTGGAACCAACTTGGGGGAGGGTCCCTCAGTGTCTTGTGTAGACTTTCCTATTAGCAGTTTGGGGACCAAAATTAACACTATAAGCAGCATTAGGCCAAACCCACTTCATTGCCCTAAGTTCCTGTGGGAGCTCAATAGAGCGTCAGGGCCACAGTGGAGGGACCAGTGCTGAGGGAGCCGTTCTTGGAAGGCTGCTCCTCTAAGTGTGACCCAGCGGGCAGAGTCAGACTTTCTGTGCTGCTTGTTGTTGTTGTTGTTTTGTTCCACCTATTTCTGTTTAAAATTTTTTGTGTTAATGTAATATGAAAGTCAGTATTAACCGTTTTCTAGGCCCAGTGCTTAGGAGAGGACCTCATGGCACAGGCTGAGTGAGATGGGAAAAGGAAAGTGGGGTCTGTGTGGTGGGGAGAAAAGTACCAGGGATTCCTCAAACTGGGCTGTGCTTGGAACAGTGATGTGGGCCTGGTCAGTCCTTAGCTTCATGAAGGGAAGGAGGACGCTTCTGTTCCAGGAATCTACAAAGATGTGTCATTCTCCTTTAGAAACATGGGAATGCAGACAAATGTTTGTGTCTGGAAATCGGAAGCGATGGGTCCATCTGTTAGACAAGCTGATCGATTCTGATGCTGAAAGTGATGTTTGTGGAGCTTTATAAGGATGTGAGAAAATGGCACTAGTGATATAAAATACCATGTGAACTACACGTTGGTCCTCTGGCATTCCTGTCCAAAGAAGTGATGTTAGACACTGGAGCAGTGTGCCTGCCTGGCCAGGTGGAGCAATGGGTGGCGTGGCTGGGACCTAGGGATCCTCACAGAGTGGACGTGGTGAGCAGGAGGACTGAGGCCAGAGACCCTGAGCACGTCTTCCTTCTTCTAGGACAAACAGGAGCTAGATGAGAGGATTTCTTATTTCAAAACCTACCTGGAGACAAAAGGGGCTGCCCTGAGCCAAACTACGGAGTTTCTTCCCTTCTATGCCCTCCCCTTCGTGCCCAATCCTATGGTCCACCCCTCATTTAAAGAACTCTTCCAGGTAAGCAGCTGCCTATGGGACTTGTCAGGACCAGACCACATTGTTATATTGGTGATTTCTGTATGGTGCTTTAAAAAAACCTAAGATTTATCCTCATTCTGACTTAACTGTAATTTATATAGCTATCGTAATTTATATAGTATTGTATTGAATGGCTGGGTAACATTTGACTTACTTTTTCAGTCCTGTACTAGCTGTGGTCGTGTGTTCTTGCTCATATACATAAACCTGTAAGGAACGTAGCAAGACATAGAAGCAGGCTAGTTAGACATTAGCAGGGACTTGCAGAAGGAAGTTGAGTTGTAGTCTCAGAATGGAAATAATAGCAATGTATAATCTGTATGATCTGAACTACATTTTGACATAATCCTCAGTAAGATGCACACACATATGCACATATGCATACACCCATGCACACACGTCAAGTCAGTTTTTTCAAACATCATAAAGTAAAACTGACTTCTGGACAGGTAAAGTTCTGTGGATTTTTAACATGAGCATAGTTAGAACTCCTGTCACCACCATTAGGGAGCAGAATGTTGGCAGTAGTCATTCTTGAGAACTACCTTGTGTCATCCCTTTGTGCTTGCTTCTTCCCCCACCTCTGTGCCAAGCAAACATTTTCATTTTATTTTAAAACAATGTTCATATAGTTTGTTTTTACAAACTTTCCTTGTGTTGTAATATGGGGTGTTGTTGTCAACACTAAGGCCTACAAACTGACTGACATTTTAAAGATACACGAGCAGTCCTTCTGTGTATACTTTATAAGAATTGCCGAGAAGATCCACCTGTGTTTAAACCTAGCTAACCTGCATCTCTCTTACTTGCTGCTGTTTGGAGTAACTTGTCTGTCTGTCTGTCTGTCTGTCTGTCTGTCTGTTACAGGGTGATTTTTTTTCTTTTGGATTTGAGGTTATATAATTCACTTTAGTGTGTCTAAGGTCAGAAATCTGATTTTACTTTGGGTTTATTGAGCTTCCTTGATTTGATGCCTTGTGTCTTGGAACAGTTCTGGAAAATTCTGTTTGTATTTCTTCATATCTTGCCTCTCTTCAGTTCTCTATTGTGTCCTCTGGACAGCTGATCAGATGTCCATGACTTCCATTTCCTCCATACCTTTTTTTTTTCCTATTTTAAAAATTATGGTAAAGAACACATGGGATAAAATTCACCAATTTGGCCTTGAGTGAGATTTGTAAAAAATCCACTGTACAATTGTGACAGCAAGCCAGTCTGAAGGGCAAGCATCTAAGGATCTGTATTCAGAGGCTAAAGCAAGGAAATGTGTGGCTACCCTCACATAGACAGAAGGACAGAAAATCTCACTCGTTACTGAGGGTGGAACCCTCTAGGTCACAGGTTTTCCACTCTCAGGATTCTTATTCTTGTTATTTGTGGACTCTGGTTCCTTTCTTGTCACTCAGAGATTTTAAATGGACCTCATTTTATCAGCGTGCTTTGTTTTTAGTTATTTTCATTTTTTTCTTTTGTGTTTTTTTTGTTTTGTTTTGACATTATATGTGTTGCAGTATCATCTGGAAAGGACATTTCTTTGTCTTTTTTATCCCCTTGAGACAAGGTCTCTCTATGTAGCCCTGGCTCCTGGCTGTCCTGAAACTTGCTATATAGAACAGGCTGACCTTGAACTTACAGAGATCCACCAGTTGTTGTTGTTGCTGCTGCTGCTGCTGCTGTTTCTCCTTCTCCTTCCCCTTCCCCTTCTTCCTTCCCCTTCTTCCTTCTTTTTCTCCTCCTCTTCCTCTTCTTCCTCCTCGTCCTACTTCTCTTCCTCCTTCTCTTCCTCTTCTTCCTCTTCTTTCTTTCTTCTTCTTGTCAGGCTCTTACTGTGCCATGTCATCCTAGCTGACATGGAACTCATTATGTAGGGTAGACTGGCGTTGAGCCCACAGAGAGCTCTGCCTTCCTAGTACTGTGATTAAAGTGTACATCATGGGCTGGAGAAATGGCTCAGTGGTTAGGAGCCCATATGGTTCTTGCATAGGACCTGAGTTTGAGTCCCGGCATTCACATGAGATAGCTCACAACTACCTGGAAAACCCCAGCTTCAGGGAGCTGACATATCCTTCACCTCTGTGAGCACATACATAAACACACATACATTTACATAAATAAATCATAAAAAGAATATAAAAGATGTGCATTACCAATCCAGCTAGTTACGCTTCTTTGTAACGATCATAATGTGTTCTATAAACTCAGTTTGTCAGTGAACATCCTCTTGCAGAAATACTTAGGATGCCACTTCAAGGAACATTCCTGAATGTCTTGCCAGAGACTAAGTTAAGTAAGCTTAGTAAAGATTTAAAGAGATAGAAAGCTAGCCTGGTGGTACAGACTGAAATCACAGCTTCTAGGGAGACTGAGGCAGGAAGTTTAAGGCCAGTCAGGGCAATTTAATGACATCCTAGTATCTCAAAAATAAAGGATGCTGGGAATGTAACTCAGTGGAGCCCTTGCTTAGTGTGCAGATCACCATGGAGGTCTGAGGGAGAACTGAAGAGAACAGAGGAAGGACATGGAGGTGAGCCCTGGCCCGATCGGCACAGCCGTAGTAGTCCAGCCCTGTGTCAGGTTCCATTGGCGATTTTGAAGGGTCAGAGCATTTAGTGCTGGGAAGACAGTCAAGCAGCCACGAGTTTACTTTAAAGCCTGTGTTCTGCACAGGAAGAGACAGATGAGTGGCTTTTCCCAACTGTTTATCAGAGCTGACCCATTTCTGGCTCTCTACACTGGTCTTTCAGAAGTGTGGGATCAAGTGTTCATCAGATTCAGAAAGTGTTCTTCTCAAAGCTGAAGGCAGTAGAAATAAGAGCAGTCAAGGAGAGATAAGGGCTTCATGCCTGGAGAGTGTGTATTCCTGCCTGTCACACTGGTTTCAAGAACATTGTCAGAAGTGGCTGAGTGGAAAGTGCCTGTTTGTTGGTTTATAGGACACTGCATGTACCACCACTCCCAGTTTTATGCAGTACTAAGAATCAAATCTCATGTTTGTTGTATGCAAGACAAGTACTCTGCCACCTAAACCACATTCTCAGTCCTTATTTGGATTGCTTTTAAGATATTTTGATTGGGGAACTGGAGAAATGGCTCAGTTGTTAAGAACATTAACAGAGAATCTTGGATTCAGTGCCTAACACCCTCATGCTGATTTACAACCATCCCTAACTCCAGTTCCAGGGCATCCGATGCCCTTTTCTGACCTCCACAGCTACCAGGCCAGCACATGGTGACATACATACATACATACATACATACATACATACATACATACATACAGGCAAAAATTTCACACATCAAAACAAATGGATAAGTCTAATTTTTTTTTTAAAGATTTATTTATTTATTATATATGAATACACTGTAGCTGTCTTCAGACACACCAGAAGCACCAGAAGAGGGCATCAGATCTCATTATAGATGGTTGTGAGCCACCATGTGGTTGCTGGGATTTGAACTCAGGACCTCTGGAAGTGCAGTCAGTGCTCTTAACCACTGAGCCATCTCTCCAGCCCGATAAGTCTAATTTTTAATTTTTTAAGTGGGAAATATTTTTATTTCAAGAATAGAAATAAAATGATCCCAATAAAGTTCATTATCAGCCTAAATGTTCCTTTCAAGCCAGACATAGTAGTGTCTGTCTATTTTCCCAGCACTCAAGAGAGTCAAAAGTTCAAGGCCAACCTGAGTAACATAATAAAACCTCAGCTCATATGAAGTGAGATGATAATTATTGCCATGCTTTCTCTTTCACAATTTCTGTCTTTTTTTCCTTAATGGATGTTATTTGAGATAAGTAATTTATTTTCAAGGGTAGGCTGAACTAAAATTGTGTCACAGTGCTTGCCATGACATGAGGTGGTATGGCCTGTACCATGCCTTTCTTCTTGTCTAAGTGAGGTCTAGAAGTGACTCCCTTTCTTTGCAGGTTGTCTAGCAACTTAAGGAATAATTGTCTGCGTCACATCTACCATGGTATGCGTGCCCAGACTGCACCAAATTCATTTTGATATTCAGCCTAATATGGCCTCCTATCATGCTTGTGTTTAAATCCCATGAAATATTCCAGTCATATGCAAGCTATTTGACCTGCTGTGGATCCTTGAATCATTTATAAATGAATCAGTCACACATTGGAAAAACTGTTTTCCATCCTCTCCCAACCCTGGCAGGACACTGGTTTCTGTAGCTGACAGGTTATTTAACCCACCCCCACGACTTTGATGGTACCATGGCTATTTATTTATTTATTTATTTATTTATTTTCTCTAGGATTCTTGGACTCCAGAATTAAAGCTGAAGCTGGAAAAGTTCTTAGCTTTAATTTTTAAAGCCAGTAACACACCAAAGCTTTTAACCATCTATGTATCCTTTTGAAGTGGGTGGAGCCCCCTGGGTGCGATAGCAGGGGCACTGGCGTTGAGTGTCTTGAGTCAGCAAGCTGCCAAATGAAGCATCTGTGGAGGCTTTGCCATGACCTGGAAAGGGCTGACGCGTGCGTGCGTGCGTGCGTGCGTGCGTGCGTGTGTGCGTGCGTGCGTGCGTGCGTTCGTGTTAGTATAGGTATCTGCAGAAGTAATATATGTATGTTTGTATGTGTGTCTTAGTACAGATACCTACAGAAGCTATGCGTGTGTGTACATAATGTGAGTACAGGTGAGTGCAGAGGCAAAAAGAAAGTGTCAGGTACCCTGGAGCTGGAGTTTCAGGAGGTTGTGTTAACCACTGAGCCATCCTTTCAGCCTTGTGGTCTTGTTTTGGTGTCACTAGCCTAGACACTGTCTTGGTAGGGAAAACAGAAAAAACCAATCTATCCTGTTGAAAAAGATCTTCTTGGAAGAAGTTTTCCTTTGTAGAAGGCCACTGAATAATTTGGAAGGCCTGAGGGTCACAGTGTTTGGACTTGTCATTCAGATCCAGACTTCTTTTTAAGCTGCTGCATTGTATCATTTACATACTATAATGTTTACCCGACATACCTGTAAAATTCATTGATTTTTAGAAATTGGACAGTTGTACAGCCATTATCATAATCTATTTATGAGCGTACAGAGGGACAGTGTCACAGCTATAAATGGGGACCATTCAAAGAATAGCAGTTACCCACCCACAGGAGACTGATCAGCCACCAGTTATTAGTCCACAAGGCCATGTATCTTTTCTTAGTGGACAGTGGACAGGCATCTATTTAAAGCTATCTCATACTAGGCTGGAGGATCTGCACAAGGCCTAGGTTTCATTCCCTAGCCCTGGAAGAAGATAAACAGAAAGGAAAGGAGAGAAAAAGAACAAAGGTGACTCATGCTGGTTGTCTAACTCTGAACATACAGAAAGTCACTGAAACGTCACTTTAAATAGGTCCTGCACAGACTGTGTGCATAAGAGCTGTTAGCAGAGAAGGAAGAAATATGTAAGATAAATGAAAAGCAGTACAGACACATGGATGTAGGATTGGAAGCCAGGCAGCCCAGCTTCAGGTGCAGCCTGAGCCACTGCCCTCCCCAAGTCTGTGCCCTTGGGCTGAAGCTTTAGGACTGCAGTGGCCGCCTTAGGGTTATGGGCTCAGCATATTAGCAAGGTTTTGCCAGCAGGGCAAAGGCCTTTGTTGGGGGCAGACAGGCCGTGTGGAGGCTGAGGGAGTACTGCAGCCCATAGTCCTCACCAGGCCACTGTGAGGGATCGAGGGCTGGCAGGAGCATGAGGAACTGCTCTCTGCTTTGCTATCTTTAGCAGTCTCTTCTGTCAGCCTCAGTTCCTTTCTCTATCAGCCTCACAACATCAGAGTTCTGTGCCCCAGGGCCGTTTTCCTGAGCTGATTTCTTACCTAGAAGGAGAGTGGACCGAATAGCAAAGGTAAGTTGTCTTGATGACAGTTTTCATGAGAACAGCTTAGCCAGCTCATCTTCTAAGCTGTGGGAGGCAGAACTTGTGGGCTTGGAGAAATGAGGGCTTTCACAGTCTAAATGTTTACAGAGTGTCTGTGACCCTGCTCTGTGTAGCTCCGTGAGGCCCGCTCCTTAATGATGGCTGGTGGTCAGCATGTCCGGTATACGAGATAACAGAGATGGAGAAACAGAGAAATGGGGATCAGCTAACTCACAGCCCGGCGACAAGGACCTACCTTGGCTCAGTACGAGCACACAGCCGCTGTGGGGCAGGGGAATTATTTTCAGAGTAATTCCAGTCTTGATTGTGTACGTAAAATAGCATTTTTCCCCCCCTATAGTCAATAATTTTTACCTGAGCATTTCATCTTAAAGGTAAGAAAAACTAGTTGACACAGCCTCAGCAGCCTCAGTGTCTCAGTAGCCGTGGTGGCCTACCTTGCTTGGTCTTGTCTTGGGTGCTCTGTTTTGGAAACACCTTGAGTTGTTGGGCCATGTCTGTGATGAGCTCCACACATGGTACTGAAGGCGGGATCCCCAGCTCCCAGCACTTGGAGTTTCCCTTCCTGAAAATGTGGTCCATGAAACAACACTGCCCGTTTCCAAGAAGAGCAATGTCAGAGAATTTGAGAACTTCCTTCCTTGGTTTTCTATGTTTGGTTTAAGAGAGTTAAACCCTTAAAAAAAGATTATTTTTATTTTCTATGTATGGGTGTTTTGCCTCCATGGAAGTCTGTGTACATGCACACCGTTTCCCTTAGATACCAAAAGAGGGCCAGATCCCCTGGAACTGGAGTCTTCAATGGTTGTGAACGGCAGTGTGGGTGCTAGGAACCAAGCCTGGGTCCTCAGTGAACAGTCAGCGGCCTCAACCTCTGAGTTCATATCTCCAGCCCCAGCATGGTTTTTGTTTTTTAAAGAAAGGAAGTATTAGTAAATTATTTAATTCAGCTTACCAGGAAGCTGGCAAGTGAGTAATCCTTCACTTCTAATACACACAGAGACTTTAGCTGCACAGCAAAAAAAGGTTTTAAACATTTTTGTTCTTGGTTGTCTAGTGTGTCAGCCATCTGTCCATCATCAAAGTGAAATAAATATTGGAGGCAGTTAATGTATAAAGCAGAAGTGTTGATTTAGTTCTCAGGTCTGGTGGCTGCAGTCCAAGATCAGGCAGCCTGGTTGGTTTGGACTTGATGGTAAAGGTTAGTGATGTGGTAGTGCTGCCTCCACGCTGCTTAGCCTCACAGGCTTGCATTGAAATCTTGATGGATGCTGCTATGACTCTAACTCCTTCATCCTGCTTACATCATGAACCAGAAAGCAAAAAGGAGATGGGCTGAGTCCTTCTGAAAGTTTCTGCTCCCTCCCAATAGCACGACTCTGGGGACTAAGTCTTTAACACATGGATCTTTGGGAGACACTCATTTAAACTGTTGGATTGTACCACTGGCTCCAAAAGCTGATGATGACCACGTCACAGTGAAAGCCCACTCTTCCATCGCTTGAGAGTCCCCAAAGCCTTACTTGTCAGCATCACTCGGGCTGCTGTGCATCCTGCCTGCAGCTTTCCTAGGCCCGTGCTGTCCATTGTGGTGCCCGCTCTTCCTGTGGCTTCAGTGTCACTACGAGGACTGTAGAGTCTACCCCCTCACTGGGGTTGCTTGCCTCCAGCCCAACATGCTGCTTAGCCTCAGGCTTGCATTGAAATCTTGATGGACACTGCCGTGACTGTAATTCCTTCATCCTGTGGATGACACCAGATTCTGCTGCTAGTATAAAACATACCTGGACCCATTAGAATTTTGGTCTCAGTCATCTAGAGGGCCTTGCTGGCTGACTGCAGAAATCCTAAGACCATCTGGGATGGATTGGGCATCCCATAGTTTGGTGTTGTATTGTGTTGTGTTTTGTTTTGTTCTGTTCTGTTCTGTTTTGTCAGAGTCTTGAATGTGGCACAGGCTGGGTCCCATTTTTCTTTTCTGGAAAGTCTTTTTATTTATTTATTTATTTATTTATTTTTATTTTTATTTATTTTTTTATTTTTTTATTTTTTTGGTTTTTCGAGACAGGGTTTCTCTGTATAGCCCTGGCTGTCCTGGAACTCACTCTGTAGACCAGGCTGGCTTCAAACTCAGAAATCCACCTGCCTTTGCCTCCCAAGTGTTGGGATTAAAGGCGTGCACCACCACTGCCTGGCTTCTGGAAAGTCTTTGAAACCAAATTATATCTCTGAGTCTGACTCTGTGGCAGGTGGGGTAGCCACACAGTTCCTGACAGTTTCCATGCCTGTTTCCTGTTGTCTCAGTGCAAAGGGCTTGGGTTCATTCACAAAGGCCAAGACACAAGCTTCTCTTTATTAGAACTAATTTTACCCACCAAGATATGTCTTAGCCATGTCTTACTTTTTTCTGGCTAGGCTTTTTGCTTTTAATTTCCATTGAAGATTTGGTTAAAAAAAAAAAGCAATGCCCAGGCTGGAGAGATGGTTCAGCAGTTAAGAGCAGTGACTGCTCTTCCAGAGGCCCTGAGTTTAATTCCCAGCAACCACATGGTGGCTCACAGCCATCTGTAATGGGATCTGATGCCCTCTTCTGGTATGTCTGAAGAGATCTACCGTATACTCATATACATAAAATAAATAAATCTCAAAAAAAATAAAAGAAAAAAGCAAAGACCATGTCATAGTCCAAATGCCCTGCTGCTTTGAAGTCTCTGCCAAGTAAGCCATCTTTCAGGCTTACTCTCTGACAAGGCCCAGGAGTGGGAACAAGTATTCTAAAATTTTTTTGCCACGGTATAAGGAGGACAGCCCTTTCTCCAGTCCTCGGTAGAATTCTCTTTTCCGTCTGGAAGCACACAGCATGGGATTTATTGTCTGTGATTGTGTTTGCATGGAAGCCCTATCTGGCTCACATGTTAAACTTTGTAAACTCCACTCTGCTCATAGCATTTTAGGATTTTTCTAGCCTCTTCCAGACTCTTAGACACACACCTACACACACACACACACACACACACCCCACCCCACCAGGTATAATGTAGTCAGCAGCCCTGCATCTGAGTGCGTTTCTCTTGCATTATCCCAAGCCATTGCTAGAATGGACTTGTGATAGTTGGAACATCCTATACTCTGTCCTGAAAGATACCTTCAAGTGTGGCTGCTGATATACTTTTGAAAGAAATCAGAGCAAGACAGTATGCCACACTCACTTGTGCCCATATGGTTCCAGATATGTGACTGGTTCTGCCTGCTATGCTCCTGCACTCAAGGCTCAGGGTACAGGTCTTGCCCCATGGAGGAGCAGGGACATAGCTGTTTTCACAGGGTCAGCCTGGCAAGTAGTGTGGCAGTCACTACTGGGCTGCTACATGGCTGGAACCCAGCCTTGGAGGGCTGGAGGATTCTCTACCTACTACACAGGCCCAACTGGGAATTCCCAGCTGCTCTTATCACTGCTGGCCTGGACTCAGATGAGTCAGGGCCAGTCCCCAGCTTGATAGGGTCTGCACCAGTTTTCTGACACCCAAATATAGTTGGCACTCTTTTTTTTGTTCCTTTGTTGCAGACTCACTTTGTAAACCAAGATGGACTTAAACTTAGAGATCTACTTGCCTCTGCTTCCCAAGTGCTGAGGTTAAAGGCATGTGGTACCAGGATGCCGGTAACAGTTGACATCCTCAGTGGGCATCTAGGCTGGCTCTTTTTTTATTTTTTATTTTTTAAATTATTTTATTTTGTGATTGTGAATGGAATAGCAGTAAATGTGGATAAGCAGGTATTTCTTTACTTTTCTTTCTTTTTTTTTTTTTTTTTTTGGTTTTTCGAGAGCAGGTATTTCTGTGGTGGGACAAAGAGGCCTTGAAGTGTAGGCTCAAGAGTGGTATAGCTTGGTTGTATGGAGTTTTCAGGGAGCTTCTATCCCATTTCTTTTAATGGCTGTCTGAGTTCACAATCCGCCAGCAGTGAGTAAGGGTTCTCCTTCCCCGCATCCTTTCTTCTGATTGTCCCCACTTCTGTGGTCCTATGATGCATCATGGCAGAAGGCTTGGCAGCTTGGGACAAGAGCATGGTTACTTGGTTTCTGAGTTTGCTGCCACTGCTGTCCTTGTGCTTGGCTTCAGCGCAGACTCTCTTCCTAGAAATGCTGCAGCAGCTCCACCAGCAGCTGGTGGAGGCCGAGCGCCGGGCCATGACCTACCTGAAGCGGTACAATAAGATCCAAGCCGACTACCACAACCTCATCGGAGTCACAGCCGAGCTGGTGGATTCTCTGGAGGCCACAGTCAGTGGCAAGATGGTAAGGAACATACACCATCTGTCTAGAATTGTGTTTCAGAAGAAGTGCATGGAGCCTGGACCGCAGTGCTGCAGGGCTCCTGCCCTGTACTTCAAACAGCTGGGGTGCAGCAACCAAGCTAACACTTGCGATGTTTTACCTGCCTTCCAAACATGTGCTCTATCTGGCTGTCGGTTTCTGCCTTCGTTTTGTTGTTGTTTCTGCTGTTGTTGTTGTTGTTTTTTAAATTTCACTAATGGGCCCTTCATAGTAGTGGCACATAAGTTAATGCCATCACATAAACACATAAAAATACATACATCTTTTTAAAAATGGACGAAGCATGAAGCATGCATTCTTTTTTACTTTCATTTAGATTGTATGTGTATATGTGTTTTGCCTACATGTGTGTTTATTCACTACAGGCATGCCTTGTGCCCAAGGAGAAAGAACAGGGGGCCCAGAGCCCACGGAGCTGGAGTTACAGGCACGCGTGAGCTCCTTGATGTGGATGCTGGGCACTGAACTCAGATCTTCTGGGACAGAGAAGCAAGTGCTCTCTCTTAACCACTGAGCCCTCTCTGCAGCCCATAGCTTGTCTAGAAACTTGAGCTTATGACAAATGCAGAGGAAGACATAGTGACCTCACCATAGTCTTACCCCCCAGCCTTTAAAGATTTATTTTATGTATGTGAGTACACTGTCACTGTCTTCAGACACACCAGAAGAGGGCATCAGATCCCTTTACAGACGGTTGTATGGTTGCTGAGAATTGAGCACAGGACCTCTGGAAGAGCCATCTCCTCAGCCCTTCATCCCCTTTTTTGATATTGATGCTAACATGTTCTCCTGTGTGATTGAGGTATATTTGTGCACATGCATGCAGGCTTGCAAGTGTAGACTTGTGCACCCAGTGTTCTTAGGTTTAGTTGTGATATTCATATATAACTCATCATTTCTCTGGACCTTGCTATTTTGTTCCTTGTATCACAGTGTGTTGATGGTCTCTGCCCACCCATGCCTCCTTCCTTCCTTCCTTCCTTTAGCACATTCGTAAAGAAATGGAATCAGTGAATCCCACGGACCTCATTCTGCAAATGCTTGCTCAGAGTCTAGCCTCATCTCCAGTGATGGAGATTAGGACTTTTGTTTACTGTGACACTGCTGCAGTAAGGGCTCTTATATAATCTGCATCCCTCAGAATGCAGAAAGGATGCTAGGAATGGATTGCTAAGTCACTGTTTTGACAGATGTTGTCAAACTACTCTTCTAAAAATTCAATCTACCCTCCAAGGTTGTATCAGAATGCCTGTTTCTGTAACAGTCAGCAACACCATTCATGATTAAACTTTGTAATTGGGTAGGATTTTGTATACCTATAATTTCAGGTCTTGGGAGGCAGAAGCAGAAGGATTGTGAATTCAAAGCCAGCCTGAGCCTTCATGGCAGGAAGTCACATCGTGTCATGTGATAACTCACTGATGATAACTGTCATCCACTCAGCCAGCATTTCCTTAATACTGGGCCCATCTGCAGCCTCCTCTCTCCTTAGTGTGGGCCAGGCAGCTGGGCACCTTTCATCTCACTGATGGCTCAGGAATGCAGGACTTCTGAGCTGCTCATGTGGTCAGGAATCAAGAACGAGAGCCTAGATCTTCAGATTTGAAAGTGCTGCTCTTGCTACTGCATATGGCTGCCCACTTACTTTGTGCCTTGAATCTACAGAGACGCTTGAGAAACCATTTAGTTTCCATGGCAATTGAAACGCACAGAGTGAATGGTATGGATGGGGTAGGGTAGCCTGTGATTGTACTTGTAGTCACTTTTTAAAAATGATTTATTATTTTTTTATGGAATGTGCATTGGTTGTTTGCCTGCTTATATTTATGAGAGTGTTGGATCCCCTGTAACTGGATTACAGACAGTTGTGAGCTGTCCATGTGGGTGCTGGGAATTTAACCCTGTCCTGTAGAAGAACAGCCAGAGCTCTTAACTGCTGGGCCACATCTATTCAAACAGGGCAGGGTCTTTTGGTTTTGTTTGATTTTTTTTTTTTTTTTTTTTTTAGTTTTTTGAGACAGGGTTTCTCTGTGTAGCTCTGGCTGTCCTGGAACTCACTCTGTAGACCATGCTGGCCTCGAACTCAGAAATCTGACTGTGTCTGCCTTCCAAGTGCTGGGATTAAAGGTGTGCGCCACCACTGCCCAGCAAGGCAGTTATTTTTATTCTCTTAGGTTAGTGTGTTAATTCTTCCCCAGAGTTCTGAGGGTTTGGTGGTTTTTAATGATCAACTTGACATACTTTACAACCATCTGGGAAGAGTATCTCAGTGAGGGATTGTCTGCATCAGGTTGGCCGGCAGGCATATCTGTAGAAGAGTTTTAAGGTAGTTGATAGAGAAGACCCAGCCCACTGTGGGCAGCACCATTCCCTGGATCTGGATTTTGAACTGTGTAAGAGTGGAGAAATTAAGCTAAGTAGTAAGCATGCAACTTGCATTACCTCTGCCCTTTACTGAATGTGGCTTGCCTCAAGTTTCTATTAACCTAACTTCCCCACAGTGACAGGCTGTAGTGAGCTAAAGTAACCCTTTCTCCCTACATTGCTGCTTATAAGGTATTTTTGTCACAGTAGCAGCGCTGTGTAGCATGGCCATCTCATCAGCCCATCTACAGGAGACGTAGCTGCGGATGCAGATGCTGAGGTACCTGAGGTCCTGTGGGCAGGCTGCGTGGCTTTCACCTGATGACCTTGTCCTTGCAGATCACCCCTGAGTACCTGCAGAGCGTCTGCGTCCGCCTCTTCAGTAACCAGATGCGGCAGAGCCTGGCACACAGCGTGGACTTCACAAGGCCTGGGACGGTGAGGTGCCATGAGAGATGGGATGTCCTGGGTTTGTCCCCCAAGACTTAAAAGTGAAGTTATTAGAGAGAATGAAAGCCTGTGAGAAAGTGACATTCAGGAGTCTGCAATGCAATTGTCTGGCTGTCTAGAAGCTCCCAGAAGGAAAACAAAGCTATTTTTGAGGCGGTTGCAGCTGAGGGTTGGCCCTTTGGGTGAGCAAGGAGAGGTGCTTTTGTGGTCTACCATGGCAGCTGCTCCTGCGCACTGAGGCCTGGGAGTCAGGAGGAACAACTAGAAGCCTTGCTTTGTCTTTAAAAGAACTCTTGTGGGCTGGGATGACCACTCAGTGAAGTGCTTGGCATGCAAGCACAAGGACCTGAGTTTGCTCCCTGAGGCCTGGAGCACTTGACATCCTCGTGCTGGGAAGATGCATAGGCAAGTCCCTGACTGTAGGCAGTCCCTGAGGCTCGCCACGCAGACAGGCTAGCTTACTTGTGAGCCTCAGGACAGGGAGAGGCCTGTCTCCCAGAAAGGTAAACAATGCCCGAGGATTAACAACCAACTTTGTTCTCTGGTCTCCACACGTACACGCACACACACGCACACATGACTGTACTGACGCATGCTTACACACGTACAAGGGAGTTGGGGGTGAGAGATTGAGTGGCTTAAGACAAGACTTAAAGGTTTAAAGAAAAATCACAAACATAGCAAGGAACATTGGCATCTTCTTGACCAGCATTTATTTATTCCCTTGGTGTGTGTGTGTATCTATGTGCGCTTCTGTATGTGTGTCTCTCCCCACCCCCCATGTGTCTCCATACACAAACACAATAGGGTTTATAGAATATTTGTACCTCTTTGTCAGACTGGTGTATATTTATTTTTGCTTTCTTGTTTTGTTGAGACAAGATCTCATGTAGATCAGACAGGTGTTGAACTTCCTTAAGCTCCGATGCTCCTACCTCCCAAGTGCTAGGATTACAGACATGGGATACCACACCTGACTACAATGTGTATTTCTTTTCCTTTTCTTTTAGAGGTTTATTTTATTATTTTTAGTTTAGTGTAGCATGTCTGCATGTGGTTATGTGCATATGGATGCATACAGGTCAGAGGTATCGGATCCCCAGAGTTCTTGAGTTATGGGAACAGAACTTGGGTCCTCTGGGAAAGCAGCAAGTACCCTTAACTGCTGAGTCATCTCTCCAGCCCCCATTGTGTATCTCTACAGTTTGCCTGTGTCAGCCTCTTTCCTTGATCCTAGCATTAAAGAGGCCGAAGCAGGAAGGGACAGCAAGTTAGAGCTTACCTTGGACTCCACAGGGAGCATGAGACTGGCATGGGCTGAAAAGGGAGATCGTATCTCCAAACAGAGGGACAAGGAGAAGATGGGTATTCTCTTACTAATCACATAATTATCACTGCAGTAAGTCACCTTATCTAGTGTGTCCACTTCCATTTGTCACTGGAACCTCTCCTGCTCGTCATAGCCACCAGTATAGCTGAGTGTTGTGTATGTTGTCGGGACTCTGGAGCTTCTTTGCTCTGGGCCATTTCCCTGGGCTTTTCTTTGACTTTCATCGTATTGACACTTGGGGAAACTATACTCCTCCTTTAGAAGAGCAGGCTACTCTCCTTCCGTGTTTGGTGTTGCCTTGCAGTTGGGCTCAGGTTTGCATACCAGGCTGAGTGTTTCCTGGGGAATGACATGCTTTCCCTAGGCAGCACAGCTGGAAGTGCACAGTGTGGACTCAGGGATTCTCAACCCTGGAAGGCTACTAATCTCTCTAAGGACACCCTCAAAATTCAGGAGCCCACCTGCATCCTGGAGCTCACACCTGCCTGAGCCTGGTCAGAGGTTGGGCAGGTGAGGCCTGCTCTGGACAGAGTCCCTGATGATCCTCATAACCCAGGGATCAGTGCAACTTTGAAACAGGATTCATACACTCACATTAGAATCTTCATAAATAGATTGCCTGTAGTATTTTTTAAAATTTATACCCTCCCACATACTCAAGTAGGATTAAAGCAGGTTATTGAAAGGCAGAGACATAGCTGGGCGGTGGTGATGCACGCCTTGAATCCCAGCACTTGGGAGGCAGAGGCAGTCAGATTTCTGAGTTCGAGGCCAGCCTGGTCTACAGGGTGAGTTCCAGGACAGCCAGGGCTAGAGACACATAAATATGCAAAATGAAAAAACACTAAAGACTAAAGATGATTGTGATCGAAAGAAAAATAAGAACAAGCTGCTATGGGGGAGCCTGTCATGGTCACCGTACGTCCAAACTGCTGGCCTCGGTGTGTCCCTAGCTTCCCAGCCGCCCACAGCAAAGAGACTGCAGCTGCATGCTTGTCATACTGCTATGGCCAGGCGGCAAAGATAGGAAATTATGTTAGGTAATATTCTGTGCGTTCTAAACACCGTGATATGTGCTGTCTGCATGGGCCAGGAAATCATGAGTCGGAAATTGGTTCCTGTGAACATCCCCCGCCCCCAATTTCTAAAGGAGACTTTTTAGTGCTTTAATCTCTCTGAGTGCCCTTTAAAATTAAAATAAAAAAATAATAATTTTTTCTAAGTATTCACACTTTGTAATTTAAAAGCAAGTTAAATTTGTGTTTTACATAGCCCTGGCTGTCCTGAAACTCATTAAGTTGCCTCAAACTCACAAAGATCCACCTGCCTCTGTCTCCCAAGTGCTGGGATTAAAGGCATGTGCTACCATACCCAGCTAAAATTTAATATCTTTTTAAAGATTTATTTATTATGTATACAACGTTCTGCCTACATGTATGCCTGCAGGCTAGAAGAGAACACCAGATCTCATTACAGATAGTTGTGAGCCACTATGTGGTTCCTGGGAATTGAACTCAGGACCTCTAGAAGAGCAGCCACTGCTCTTAACCTCTGAGCTATCTCTCCAGCCCCCAGATTTTAATATTTATTTTTAAAATTTTTATGGATATGGTCATTTTTCCTGCCTATATTTCTGTGCACCATGTGGATGCAGTATCCACAGAGACTAGAAAAGGGTGCCAAGTCTCCTGGGACTGGAGTTATAGACAATTGTAAGCCACTGTGGTTTCTGATCAAATCCAGGTCTTCTAGAAGAGCAGCTGATACTCTTAACTGGTGAGCCATCTCTCCAGCCCTCAGATTCATTGAAATAAATAAATAAATAAATAAATAAATAAATAAATAAATAAGTAGCGGGTTGGACGAGAGTTGAGCCATTGCTGCCAACAATTATCTGAATACTGAGGCATAGGCCTGGTTGCTCTCTGTTCCCTGGAAGAAGGATTGTACTTCAGTTACACTTGTGTGTTTACTCGGGTACTGAAGAGCTGTTCCCCAGAGCTGCTGGCCATGCTGGCCGCTCTGCACTCAGAGAAAAGCAGAGGATGGCTCTGGCGGCCTTAGGATCTAGCCAAGGGAGAGTTAGCATGTAGAAATCTTAGGAGCTGGCTGAGTTTAAAGATGTAAGGGTTGGTTATCTAGGTTTTAAGGAACGCACCTTCCTGTGAAGCCTGCATGATGAGGGCATCAAGCCTGCTTCAAGCTAGGCAGTTGACCATCCACCTGAAGCCTGCTGCTGTTTGTAAAATTCACTGCACTGGTTTCCAATCTGGACTGCTTCACATACCCCCTTCTGAACTAGAATACAAGACAGAAGAACTGGGCAGAGGGTTTGTAGAGATCACCATCAATACTGGCAAAGCCATGTTGGAAAGCATGGGCTTCGTTTGTGGAGAAATAGGTTCCCTACTGAGTCTGGGAGTAGCATCGCTTCTGTACAGCCTGCCAAACCTGTACTGCTGCCCTTACCACAGAATCACCACATGGGGGCAGCATAAACAAGCAAGAGCTGGCCTTACTGCAGAGCTACCACATGGTGGCTGCATAGATGATCAAGAGCTGGCCTTACCACAGAGTAACCACACGGGGGCAGCATAGATGATCAGAAGTAACCTTTCTCTGGCAGGCTCTGCAGTTGGCAGGAATGGGTGGGCCGGTGGTACACAGCAAGGTGTGCCCCGTGAGTCATTCCTCTACCCAGAAAAAAAGAAGAGCCATACTGGCAGAAGGCCTCACAAACTCCAGAGGAGAGAGTGTCCAAAATGTGTCCAAAATGCTGCCTTGTCGGGGCTGGCAGGTGGATCCAGTTCCCAGGATGAGTTTGGGTGAGATTCTGGTGTTTTAAGGTAGAGGATTCTCCTGGATGTTCTGTAACACTGAATCATGCGTGTCCCTTGTCCCCATGTAGCTGACCTAACTGTAGTGTTCCTCATCTTTGCCTTAAAGGGCCAGAATTGGAACAGGTAGGAAATCAGACTGTGTTATTGGCTACCTAGTGAGAAGTCAGAGTTCTCCCTAGGCATAGGAAAAAAGACAGAATCTTTTCTAAGATTCTGGAAGGATATCCATGCCACATAATGGCATATTCACATCAGCCAACAGCAGCTCCTGAATACCATGGTAATGGCACGGCACTATAGACAGTCTCACTCTGTAGACCAGGCTGGCCTGGAACTCAGAGATCTCCCTGCCGCCACTTCCCAAGTGCTGGGATTAAAAGCGTGTGCCACCATGCCTGTCCTTCAATCTTTGTACAAAGACAAAAACATGTAACTGCAATTTTAAAGACTGTATCCCTGTTGTCTTTAAAATATTTTGTTATCACTATCTTAATGATTATGTTTATGCGTGTGTGTGAATACAGTACCCAGAAGAAGGGCATTGGGTCCCCTGGAACTGGTGATTGTAAGATGCCAAACATCATTACTGGGAGTTGAACTCAGATCTTGTCCAAAGCAGAAAGCGCTCCTAAGCACGGATCTTTCTCTCCACTCCCTGGGTCCCCATTGTTGTTGAACGCATGCTGAGTGCTCAGGTTACACAGCTCCCTGCCATGCAGTTAGAGGGAGCCTGGTGCCAACTCATCCCTGTACAACCTGCCCAAGAGTCAGTTTATCAACACAGGTTAGGGCCATGTGAACATTTGGCTTGAAAGCCG